CCTTACCCGCGGTCCGCCACCGCCGATCATTCATCGCTAAAAACCTCAAATCTCCTCGCCGATGACGATGGCCCATCACCTCACCTGAGTAGCCGGTATCTGCTCTTTATACGATTTGTTAGATACCATCGCGAGTTTCCTAACCGCCTATTTTGGGCTCGGGGCATCACTTCGCTATGCCACTTGCCCCCGTAGTACTGGCCGATCTAGGCAGACTCTCGAAGCTGCCGCTGGAACTCTTACTTATCATCATAGGATACCTCGACGTCCCGAGCGCCGCCAGGTTTACCCGGGTCAACCGACAGGCGCAGTTTCTCCTCTGGTCCGACAAAGATTATCAGCTGCTCCGATATTGTCTGTTTAGAGACTTATCCCACAAAGCCCATCGCCAGATACGACCGCCTTACATCACTAGCCGCGTCCCCTTGAAAGATGTCAACTATCACACTCTCGCATACACAATGTCGCACTTCGTCTGCATGCGGTGCAGTTCCCGCGATCAATATACTTACAGACTGGATATGCGCACCGGATACAATGTCTGCTGCTTGTGTCCTCCAGTGTCTCCGGCGAGTATCTCCATCATAGCCAGCTGGGTTGCAATGGACCGTGAAGAGGTCAAGAACACAATTCCCTATCGCCTACCTGAGGGCCAGCTTATACGTATGTTATGCCCCCATAATGAGCTATACCTTACTACGTTTCATCCATCGTAATGATGAGACGAGTAACCTTTTCTCATTAGTTTCTCGGCCGAGCAACGTTGAATACCTTACTAGATGTTTCGCACGCTTCCGAGAAGAGGGTAGGGAGCTTGTCTTGAGGCACTCCAGCCGAGACGCATGGAATTATTTCAGATCACAGCAGAATGCTTTGGTCTGTGCCAGTCGACACATTCAGTAAGAGCTAGTATTGCCATCCGGTGAATGGCACCTCACTATTACATATGGCTGTAATGCTATTGATTGCCAGGTACGAGGAAGACCCGTAACGTGAAAATACGCAGGGCTTACTAAGGATATGCTTACAGTTATTGCCGACATGATCTCTCGTGTTCTTTGATATCAACATGTCTTGATTTTAGGCGATAAATCAAAAGTTGCGTAGAGCGAAAGATACGTTTTCTCTTAGCCAAAAGATCTGTTTCGCTACAATCTACTGAGTTGGCTCCAAGTATAGCCATCTGCTTAAAGTTCTGAGTGTTCAAACAAGCTCGTTTACCACTTTAATTTAACCCAGATCGACTTTCTTACTTGTGAACTATACTCTTCATTTATTCTACCATACAACCATACAACCATGTTATACTAGCACAACTTAAACTAATCCCTACCGACGTCAGAGCCGTTGCGCGCTACTATACTAGTACACATGGATGCTGCCTTAGCGCTCTCGTCACTTCCACTCCACTAACGCATACTACTCCGCTAGCCCCGCCCTAGTACTACTATCTTGTCCCGTCGCTGACGAGTCTCCAAGTTGGTAAGGACCAACTTTGGCGACCGGCCAACCAACACACAGGAAGCACATCACTTCCCCTTGTACGGGCTTGTGGTTTAGTGGTATAATACTCCCTTAGCATGGGAGTGGTCCGGGGTTCGATTCCCCGCGAGTCCAGTGGATGGAGGTTCGATTCCTTCTGTTGATACCATCACCACCATCAATCTTTCACGGGAGTTTGGCCGAGTTGGTTAAGGCGCTGTGTTTAGGTCATCCAGGCTCTGTACTGGATACTTGATACTTAAATCCGCAGTGGGAAACCGCGCAGGTTCGAATCCTGCAGCTCTCAACAACTTTTTGGACCCGATAACCATATATTTTAGCTGTGGTTGTGGCTAACTAGAGTTGAGCCTCTGCCCTCCTGGCATCATCCTGTACTGGTTGCTTACTCTATTGAGTGAGTATTTTTTACATCGCTATCGATATATTTACTCAAACCATGCCGGGTATTAGTGTATGGTTCTTCACGACATACGTTACTGCTCACTCCTCGTATAGCAGCGCACATTTTGACAGCTTGTCTAGCTTTCGTCTATGTCAATTCGCCCCTGACCATATGCAGGCATGTCAAAACCTACAGAATGGTTCCTGAGTCAATGATCCTGGATCCTAGGAGAATGAGAACCTCTCAGGATGAACAGAGTTCAAACGTACTGCAGTGATAGAAACAAAGGCTGTTTGTTTCACTAAAAATCTCATCAGCTCTCCTATTATCAGACTTCGAACTATTAATGATATCAGGCTGTCGAAATATCCAACGTGACAACGAGATGACAATCCGCTGAATTATTGTCATTCATGACAGTACTGCCAACCCGTTATCATAATACAATCAGCTCACATTCATTAGCTCTACTGTCATGTTCCTTAACTCTCCAATGTTGAAAACTTCGGTCGGGCAGCAGAAGAAACCTACGAAATGAACCCCAGTACCCATAATATGTCTGTTTGAAACATGTCATGCAGGCCGGGCAGAGAAGATGTAAGTTTGACGGGGTTCCACCTCGTGTCGAAATGTATACCTCAGTAATCTGCACCTAGAAGTCGTATTGTCAAGAAGATAGAATAGACGACATATCGACTTACTCATTGTATTTTGGCATTGCTCGGGAACGAGAACTGGTAACGAACGCATATAAAGAGCCCCGTTCGTATCTGACCAAACACCTTCTCATCTCAGTCTGCAAGGTTTTGCCAGTCCTCTCAACTTGCCACGATCTAAACTGTTACCATAGCCCACTTAACCACTCCATACTCAAGATGGTTTCATACAGCTCTCATTCTCAAACTCCAGCCAACGGGCCATCTGGGTCTATCGACCCTTATGTGCTCTTCGAGGCACTCACAGGGAGAAAATTCGAACGAACTTCCCTGCCTTCTCGACCTGCCCCTGAGGGGTATGATGATCTGAGTGACATTCGCACATGCCGTTCGCGGAAGCTGGATGAACCTGAGCCCGACCCGCAGCCCGAAGACCTTTCTGTCGGCTGCATCAACCCATTTGCTCTTTCCGAAAACATGGTCGGTCACAAGATCGATCGCCGATCCATAACGGCGATCCGGATCATCCAGGATACTCTGCAGACCGACTATGAAGAGCTCTTCGACATGAAACATCACTCGGTCCTCTATGCTGGTCTCAAGTTGAACAGAGAGGAACGCATGGCAGAGGAGCTTGAAGAGGGAGAAACTAAGATCTTGAAGGAGAAGGATCTAGTCACCCCCGATCTCAGCCGCCTTGAAAAGTTGGCTGATCTTGAGGACATTGGCTTGAAGGAAGTTGGTGATATCCGTATCAAGCGAGCTGGTATCCTCAACAACAAGCTCCATCTTGTCTTGCATGCCAACAAGGTCGCGAAAACTGTGGGTAACCGGGAAGTGACACAGACGATCAATGACTTCTGTCTGCCTTTCCGACGCGACAACGAGGAATCGTTCACGCCCCCGAACAGCTCTTGGCGCGATGCTCGTGAGATCATCATGATGCGCAACATGCGCCGAGGCATGATCTCCGACTACAACACTCTCTTCGACTATGGCGGATCTCACGAGATCCAAGTCATGCGCAAGTTCGACGACCCGATCCAGGGCGCCACTGCAAACAGCTGGTTTGTCGCAGCGCTGTTCTCCGTGTACTGGGCGGACCCGGCGATCATCAACCGTACCATGGAAAGCCCGATGCGGATGCGTGACCCCAACAACAACGAGGACCGCGAGCAGAATCGCTTCAGGGTCAAGTTCCACGACAAAGGCGGCCGCAACAACAACTCGACACAAACCGTCGAGGTCGACTACCGGGTCCCCGTGAACAACTCTAGCGAGGACTTCGTGTACTGCCGCTCGAGCGACGGAATGGCTCTCTGGCCTTCTCTGTACGAAAAGGCCTTCGCGAAGTGGATTACCAGCGGCAACAATGATGACTCTCCTCGGCGCAAGGACTCTGGTCGGCTCAAGGTTGCCAGCAGCAGCAGCCAGCATGTCGACATCACCCAGCTCCACCACGGTGATCCCGTCAAAGCGATGGCGCAGATCAACGGACGCGAGCCGGAGTACTACTTCACCGACAAGCGCGAGGCAAGCGACCTCGTCGGCCTGGTGCGCGCATGCAGCGTCAACCACCGCACCATCTGCCCCATGGTGGCCTGGACCTACGCCACGGACCGCGGTACCTACCGCGGGTGCAACCTCGTCGCCAACCACGCCTACTCCGTGCTCGGCTGGTCCTCCGTCGGCCAGGGCGACAAGCAATACATCATCATTCGCAACCCCTGGGGCACCACCGAGCCTCACGGACTCACCAGCTACCCTGGCATCTTGACTCGCGTCGAGCCCGAGTACTGGCGCCCTGCTTCCCTCCTCGATCGCGAGGGTGTCATGGCCGTCGAGGTCGGCGCTTTCAAGGAGTACTTTGCTTGCATGGGTATTGCCAAGTAGATAGACACACCGACAGAGGGCACCAGGACTTCCTAGGCAACTGAGTTAGATTGAGATTAATTTTCTTATGTCCTGTTCTCGCGCAGAGACTCTAGTCTCATAATACTACTAAACACGACTTTGCCTGATTTGAAGGTTCCAAGATATATATATAGCTCAAGATAATATGAAGATTGTTTCAAAATAAGTTCATTGTATTATATCGTGCTTCGTGATACCTACGCTATTCTGCACGTTGTTCCATCAAAAGGTAGTAAACCTTCGCTCGCCTCGTATCATCACGCTGCATGATATAGGGGGCACGACAAAGCCGAAAGCACATCCTCTCTCCCTCTACAAGTATATAATCAACTTTTCAAAACATTGCGACGCAATTGAATGAGATGCATCCCTTATATCGTGGCTATGCCTTTGGAACCAAAGTCTCCTCGTGGACCCATTTTTCTCTCATATGAGAAGGGAATCATAAAATAGGTCATCTCAAGCGATTCTACTTGCCCTGAGCATACTTCGAAGCAAAAGAAGAAAAAAATAAAATTTAGAATTTAGTCAAAAGATTAATCCGATGGTCCCAGTGAGGCTTGAACTCACGGCCTTCGCATTTACCAACGCTACGACTTGAGTCATAATATTAGTACGACGCTCTAACCAACTGAGCTATGGGACCGATTGGTTGGTGTTAGAGAAATCTTACATCATGACGGTTGGAGATGGTGAGGGGTTTGCGGGTACTTCCGTGATCCAACCACACCTAGCACTAATTGTTGGGTCTAGACTTTGTCTTCATTGCTACGAACGATATAAATTTTTTCTAGTTACTTTAGGGCGAAAGATGTTAAATTTAAGTGCCTTAAGTCTTTGATTATCTTTTCTCTTGATATTTCAAGGATGTGAGGTTTTTCAATCTAGCGTGACACAATTTTTTTAGGCACTTATTTACTCACTTTGAGTAGAAATATTATGCTGCATATGCATGATAAGGGATTTTTCGTAAAGTTGGACCTAGCCTACAATGACATTTTTGACTGATCTGCGTAACAACGAGTGTTCGTGGTATATTCTGGACGTCGATCCTGGATATAGAACGTTTGGATTGATACCCTCCCGTTAGGCTTGTTGATGTTGAACATAAACTAGGTATGAATATTTCTCAGATACTGAGGGGTGATATTATTATTGTTGTTGATAAAGTAAAGAGAGATGGCTTTAGAAGCTCGAACATGTTTGGGAACTGGGACTGTGGTCTAGTCTTCATTATATAATTCTTTTTTGTAAGGGCCGCTTGCTATAATTGTCAGAATAATACGTTGAACTCATTGGAGTTGCGTTCGTCTCTGAATATAGTCGGCCATGGTTTTAGATATTATATCCACCATCTAACGATATAGCTGGCAGCTAATTTTTGAAAACCTGCGTGGTAGTCTTATTGTTATGAGCAGCAGCTATTACCTTGAGAGCCACCGGACTATCGAGGTGATACACCGGGTTGTTTTGTTGAATAAGAGACATTAAGCAACACGCTACCTTCCAGTGATACCGGTATGACTTCTCACTCTGTCAAGATGCTCGAATTCAAGATTATATCGGCGTCTCTACGTACGGTCGTGTGCTAGAGAGCATCCTGTCAATCAAGAAACACCAGGCATTTTCTGCCATTGTTGTTAACGCCGTACCTAGCAAGGAAGAGTTTGGAAAGAGACAGAATCAAACAACTGAATTGGTGATGTCAGAATTTCCTGATTTCGGCTATTATGCCCCGTCGTGGTCTTCTCGCATATCGAATAAATCGGGAGATCATACTCGTTACAGTGGCATGTCAGACAGATCATGTGCTACAATTGTCATTGATATTAAGATGAGATATTATCAAGAAAACCAATTATATAGACTGACGTAATTCCCTAGACTGCGCGACACGAGAACGCAGAAAGAAGATACCTATAAGCCACTCACTCACTTGGCCACCAAGCCACATCGCACATCGCCTTACACCGCGGTTGGAGACGGCATCTACCTTAGGTAACCAGCTTCTACCGAGACAAAGAAAATCCTGAGGCATGCCCCATCAATCATCGGTTTATGGTATGTTTCATACTATGGACTTAGATGCCTCCCCTTGCAGCTGCAAATGCACGACATCAACTCTTCCGACGATCGGGTATCTATCTCTTCATCGGTACTATGTTTTGCTTACCGTGTTACAGCAGCAGTACAGCATGAAATTCGCATTCCGATACACACTCCAACACATCCGTCCTATCGGCTAGGCCTCAGTGTACCATCAGCCGGCATTCTAACGAATGTTGCTTATTATAGGCATTATGCTTCGTCAATTGCGGTTAATACTAAAATGTCATCACGTTACTCAGCGCTACCGTTGCTTTCGTCTATAGCACCATAGATGATGTGACCGAAAATAATACAATGAACGGTGGAACGAACATTCGCAAAAGGCCAATTCGAATCCTCGATCAGCCGTTCTAGGTTAGAAAATTGTCTGCATAAGATACACGTGTACGCCTTGTCGTACCTGACAGCTTTGTTGCATCGATCTCACCATTCTTGCACCATCTAGCATAGCTCTGGACGGCGCCGGTGTAAGTGCTGAACAACGGCCCCCAATTGGTCGCTAATTCGGCACTAGCACCCGCGGACTTGTCCTTTCTTCGGCGGTTTCAAGGCGGCGGTCGCCAGGATCGCCAGGGCTGGCCAGGGGCAAACTATGGGGTAATAGTTATTCTATCAAAAACTTCTCTCGCGGTCCCATGACCTCCCAAAGAACCGATTTCGTAACAACAACTCTTTGTTTGCTAATTGTCCGTTAGCGTCCACATCACGCGCGTACCCCGGATTCCACTTCGCTGCCGTTAACTGCTAAGCGCAATGGCCATCGACCGCCCAGCTCGCGGTTTTTTTAATGATTTTTTTTTTCTTCGCCAGTCGGGCCAGCGACGGCAATAGTGGATAGTTGGCATCGCCGTTTCTTACTGGCCCCTCGAACCACATCATTCCGCCCGATTCTAGGCGGGAGCGCTTTGTATTGCCCTCAGGTGGCCTTGAAATTTTTACCAATTGCAAATTTCTCAAACTGGGCTTTGACTCGCCCCCATCCCATCGGGATCTAAGTAACCCGTGTCTTGTGACATGACCTATTGTTGCCCTGGTCAAGTGGCCTGGTTACAGATTCCGTCCTTGGAACGTTGCCGGACAAGCAGGTGGTAACCTTGACAAAGAGAAATCCACCCTTGACACCCAATGTTCACGATGATATATATTAAGGACCCCTCCTCTACCTTCGAGGTGGGTGGCCCTACTATTAGTAAAGTAAAAAAACGTAGCACACAGCAACTATAATCCAAAGATTCACACGAAAAAGAAACATCAACGTTTGCAGCAACACTTGCAATAAGGAGGGACAAGTCATCGAGCATAAACAGCCGAACATCCATCCACCACATCACCATGCCTCGCTTCACCATCGCCGAGCCTCACCCCACGGTCGGGCAGAACACCTACACACACTCAGGCCGAGGCGGCGCAGGCAACTACTTCCGCGCGCCAGCAACCACGCCCTCGAGCGGCGTCGCAACGGAGTCCAAGGTGCTGCCGCCCTCGACCTCCAACTTCTACTCGGGCCGTGGCGGCGCCGGCAACGCGCGAGTCTCAGAGAAGCGCCCCGTCATGTCGTTCGACGAGGAGTTCAAGCTCCAGAGTCAGATGGAGCAGAAGCGCGTCGGCTACGTCGGCCGGGGCGGCGCCGGCAACATCTACGACGTCGCCGCGCCCGCACCCCGACGCAAGGACAGCGACGGCGCCAGCTCCACCAGCTCGGCCAACTCGTTCATCGAGCGCGTGAGCTCGGCCTTCAGCCGTCGCTAGACTAGGCGTTGGTCAATTGAGTTTCCCTACCTAAAGTCAATTGCCCGCTCAATTATTTCAACTTCACCGATGGACCGTTTCGATATTATAAGCGGGCGCCATCAATTGGACACTCCACTTCTGCTGTTTATATTTGCTTTCATCGAATTTCCTTTTACGATTATCATCAAACAATCAAACAAATCAAGCACGGCGCTACGGAACAGGTGGATTATACGAGATCATGGACAGCGAAGGGGGGAAATCATCGCCGGGGCGCGAGCTTATCGGCGACACATTTATACCTCGAAGGGATGGACCATGAAGAAGGAAAAGTGATTTATGTGGAATTTAATGGGAAAGGCCATCAATCAGCAAGCGGGCAAATCTCGAAATGAATTGGAAAAAATAAGGAAACGGGGTTGGAATTGGCTTATTTTTCTTCAATATACCCCCTCACGACGTATTCCCCTGACATGGAAATAATGGGTTTGGTCGTATCTCCCGGCTGGCAGACTCCGGGACGTATGTTTCTTCACGAGTAGGAAAGAAAGAAAGAGCGTTCGAGAATTGAGACGAATTGAAAGAGACGAGGCTCACGAAAGATATGAAGGGGTTTGGAGGCTGTCCTTGTAGATAGAATTTCTATACTACCCTTTAGAGAGGAGCAAGAGAAAGTCTTCATGATCAATTGAGCTGTGATTTTTTGACATTGGTGTTCCGAGAACATAGTCTCCATCTCGAATGGCTTGTTGTATTGCGATATTGATACTGCTTACTGTATCTACTTTATACGCGCATTGAGGGGGAACATCCATTCTACTCTTCAAGATCTCTCTAAAACGCAAACATTCAAAAAACACGCTCAACAAATGGGTATCATTCATCTACTTAACGATGATTAGTTCCTTCTCCGGCTGCCCTTCATCCACCTATCGCACCAACATCTCCCTGTCTGGCCTCCGCCTTTAGCTATTACCTATTTCCACTACTATACAATTGCTCGTACATGGCTGCATAGAATTTAGCTAGGCTCGCTCTCCATGTCTCAAGAAGGTCGTAGTTTCGGACAAACTTCCAAGATACAAATATGGCCCAAACAACTTTCTTGCTACATGTAGAATATGGGAAGGTATAACGGAGTTGCGCTGATTGGTGGGGCTTCAACTTGGTGGTTTGGTTCTTCCTAGCGTCCGTCTCCGAGCGGCGCTGGGCCCTCTTGTTTTCTTTAGGTTTAAATTGTTGTTGTTGATATGGTTCGTCTAAGTGAGTTTCTTGTGAATGATGTCGGGATCCTCGTGCCAGTCATCGATGCTAACCCACATCTATTGCACATATAGTTAGTACCTTTGCAAATACTAGCCTAACTATGAGGCGAGAAAGGGGATAACAAACTTTTCTAAACGTGCTAAGCCCAGCCAAAATGCTTCCACCAATCCAGGTTGAGTATTTGCGCTCAGGCGGGGCAAAGATCTTGATGCGCATATCCTTAACAGCGAGTTTCTTCACCTCACTCAGTAATCGGTCACCGAAGCCCTTCGTTAACGTGCTGCCGCCTGAGAGTACAATGTTGGCATATAGTGACTTTCGCAGGTCGAGATCCGTCCGGTTAATCGCATCCGTCACTATCTGGTGAATGCCAGGATACTCGAGGCCAATGATTTCAGGGTCGAAGAGAATTTCAGGGGCGCGGAAACGCTCCTGGCCGACACGCAGACGATTACCATCCGGCAGCACGTACTCAGCCATCTTGGCCTGATCTAGCTTCGTACTTGCCCAGTCTTTCTCTTCTTGTTTCGGGTTCAGCGC